CATGACAATTGCATGCAACGATAAGAAACTTAATACTAATTCATATTTAAACAAGTTTGCATCACATGGTGCTTATTATATTTTTGAATATGAAGGAAACGATAGTACCTCACCGTTCGTTTGAAAACTCCAACAGGCACTGCCGTTTGAAAAGTTGAGGAAATAAATCTTTCCCTCGTAACATCCAACTATAACCTACAAAATCACTCACGTCAATTTGGGGAGATTTTCAACAACAAAAAAGAAAGAACCGAAAGAAAAGAAGATACTATGCAAATCAAAATAATTAAAATGAGATAAATTAAGAAACCTGAGAGAAATCGTCAAGAATTGCAGCAGAGCATTCTACCCGTCCTTCTAGTTTCGTCTCCCACTGAACAAGTCCACTAAAAGAAAATTAAATGTCATACAAAATTTCCAATGATACAAAAAGATAATGATAAAAAATTTGATAGAGAACCCCCGAAATTACCTTTTGCCGTCTATACAAACAAATTTGCGCGAGTGAGATCCAATGAAAACACAAACACGACTTCCTTTAAAAACCACAAGAGGTGATGCATCGACACAAGATCCCATGTCAACTTTCCATTGTACTTGCATAAACCCTTTTCCGTCTCTTGGTCTAATCTTTGACGAGGCCGTGTTACTTGAAATTTTTTCCTGACATTGTAATCCATGTGTGCTTCTGTTGCATCGACTAAAAGTACATTCTGTGTGCACTACTGCACCGGGATTCCATAATATATCTCTAGGACTTTGCTCCTTCGATTCGACCTTCAATTTTTTGATGGGATTGTAATTATCCATATTACTATCTACTCCCGAATAAGCTTCAATTTGTACACTAGATTTGGATGATAAAAGCGCCGTTTGAAGCCTAAGTGGGGTCGGAAAAGTGTATAACAACTTCATATGGATTCCCAACTTGAAAGAAGCATAGGCTGCGGATATAGAATTACCACCCATCTCAAAGAAATCGTCATCCACAGAAACCTTTTCGACCATTAGTGCATCAGAAAAGACCTGAAGAAAGAAAATAAAGAAGACTTCTTAAAAGAAGTTTAGCCTGGAAAACTGTGCCCCACCCCACCCCCGAAGCATGCATGAGTAGTAAAAAGGTTTAAAGCATGCTTTAAA